TATTTAAAATTACATAATATCAACAATCTCGCATTATAATACTTTTTGACCTATACCATGATATAAAAATTATTCAAAGAATTTTATATTAAAAGAAAAGAAAGAAATAGTAATGATGCATTAAAATTTAATTAATTTAATTATTTTAATTATATAATTTCAGCATGGTCATTTTGCCATTTTGTATTATCATGTACAAGATTAGTTTTTTAATTTATTTAGTTTATTCATGCTATTTAATTTTAGCATAAATTTATTTAAAATTACATAATATCAACAATCTCGCATTATAATACTTTTTGACCTTTACCATGATATAAAAATTATTCAAAGAATTTTATATTAAAAGAAAAGAAAGAAATAGTAATGATGCATTAAAATTTAATTAATTTAATTATTTTAATTATATAATTTCAGCATGGTCATTTTGCCATTTTGTATTATCATGTACAAGATTAGTTTTTTAATTTATTTAGTTTATTCATGCTATTTAATTTTAGCATAAATTTATTTAAAATTACATAATATCAACAATCTCGTATTATAGTACTTTTTGATCTTTGTTATGATATAAAAATTATCCAAAGTATTTAATCAATAGATCAAATTTGCCATCATAATTACACAGTGAACGTAGCTGCATATTAGTAACATCTTACTTCATTCTTCATCGACCTAACCTATTACCGAAATTCCATCTTAAAGTACTATAAAATTTCAGATAGAATTTTTACTTTTCCATAACTTTTCCAATGTTTAACAAGATATCTATTTCACTTGCAGGTCGTCATTAGTCTGAATGTTCTCCTTACAGAATATTTTAAGGTTTTAATGCATCAAACGAACACTTTAGTGGATCCACGTTCTTTCCCTGAGCACTTCAATGGAACATGGATGCCCTGGTTAAAGTTACCTATAGATGAAATTGGACTTCTCAGTGTTTAATGAACTGTATAAAAGACTGCAAAAGATCAGTTAAAAATAATACTAGACATAAATTATTTGGTTCTATCTATAAATTAAATCATCGAATTATTGAACTCATTTTCCTTTCGCAAATTATTTTACTAACAACGTTAAAACGACTTCGTATGACATGTACTAATGACTAGAGAAACGTCTCCCCCAGTTTGCTCGATGCTTCGATAATTCGGTGGAGAAGCTACAAGGTTTGAGGTTAGGGCTGGTAAAGGGTGGGAAAAAGTTTATCACCGGGGGGCTAATTTCTTTTTTTCTCAGCGACGTTATTGTATACAGATTATGCAGATGAGACGCCGTCGTCACGAAACACGTTGATATCAATTTAATTGCGCAGTATCGGATTAATTAATCTATGTCCGTGTGAATACGCGACTTCCGATTTGCGGAATCTCAATTTCGCGGGCAAACAATAATAGTTATAGAATATAGATAATCAAAAGTTCACTCTGTTTGTTGCGTGTAAATTATTAGAACTAAAAGTCCTATTCTTCGTGTTACACGTTTCATATTGATGTTTTTAGAACGATATCGAATTTCAAGATTAAGAAAATAAAATATTTCATGTAATTATAGTTCCGTGATAATGGTTTACAAGTGATATTTCTATAATGATTCATATTTTATTATTATTATGAAAATACTGTGTTTTTGTAACAATAATCAAAACATATTTTGGAAAGGACCAGTTATGGGTGTATTAACCACATACTCTCATCAAAAAGGTATTTCATTAATCGTAAAACAATATTTACAATATTTGTCTGTTAGGTTTCATTTGCAGTATTTACCGTTAAATTTATTTCCAGAAGCAAAATTAAAATATTTTTTGAACTAATAATTTCGCATCGACCAATATATGAAAAACAAAGATGATCGGTACATAACCTCTACGCGACCATCTTCTCATAACCTCGAAAACGCCCAATTCTTACCTGAACCATATTCCTACATAGTAGATAGCTTGGAAATAATATTATACACCCTGTATGTATTATCAAACACTGCCTTCACTTCTTCACTCCTGTAAAAAGTTTCCCTAAACGTTACCAAAAGTATCGTGAACTTCTGTCACATGTCATCGCGAGGCACAAGAAGATACAATGCCAGGAAACACAAGACAGAATATTTCAATGACAGTGCAAAATTTATGGAGAAAAGGATCACTACTGGTCTGCCAAAGTTTGATCTTTCTTCCCCTTTCTTTCTTTGTGCTCGCAGGGGTTGGCGTTACGGCTCATTTAGCAATTTGCTTATTTGCTGGCAGAGTCTCGAGCTATATACACGCGTTGGCTTTGTGCGTAATCGCGAAGAGGGCGCTGGCATCGGCGAAGGGGTAGGGGGCCCATGGAACGAGAGGTAACTTTTGCGATCGCACCGAGGGTTTGAGGTTTAAGTCGCTTTTAATAGCCAAGCAGCTGTCGCCGGATCTGTTTGCCCCCTTTTTATGCTAGACGTCTTCGACGAATAATGGCAGGAAATAATCTGGAACGAAAGAAGCGGCCATCCTTTGCAGTCCTCTGCCGATAAACCGCTTTTAACCCGTTCGACTCGTCTCTTTGGGTGCCACCGATTCAGGCGTCATTTTAACCGCGCCGAGTGAAAGTACCCACACGCAATTAACGCGAACGTTCTTCCGATGATTCACGTGTCACGTCGTCGTGGATCATCCGGCAATGCAAATCGGGAAACTTCGTCGCCTCGCGACGTGCTTTTTATCCTTTTTATATTCACAATGAATAGACGTGTTACTCCTTCAACGATTCGCCATCTCCGAGATTATGCGTGACACATGTCCTGTCTCGTGTTTAATTTGGATCGTGACTTTTTTGGATTTGTAAATTGCACCGAAAATTTTCACTATCGGGCTTTCTATATGACTGGATGGAATATTGTTATTATTATTATTATTATTTTATTCATAAACGGATCGTAGTTATGTTATTAACATAACATTTCACGTATAAAAGAAAAGCAAACGAATTATACATAATATAACACCGAAAGGACGTGCTTATAAACGCTTTGTTCATGAGGAATAGCTTTAATTAATAATCATCCGTAATTGTATTTTCAAAGCTTGTAAAGATCCATAGAAAATATCTATGCGATTATAAAGAGTGTTTGAGTTAGTAGTAATACGATAAATTGGATTATATGTATTGGGTATTCTTAGATGTGATTTTATAAGATCTTTTTATTAAGTTTTGGAAATTTTTTTCAAATTTTGAATTAATTTATTAATAATGCTTTTGGGAAAAGTGTGGAATGGAATAAATAAAATTTGTGCTTTCTGAAGTATGACTGAATAGAATATTATGGGTATTATGGTATTGGGTACTCTTAGGTATGATTTTAAGAGATCCCTTTATTAAATTTTGGAAATTTGTTTTCAAATTATGAATTAATTTATTAATAATGCTTTTAGGAAAAGTATGAAGTGGAATAAATGAAGTGAAAATTTGAGAAGGATATCAGCAGTAGTTTATCGTTGTATATGTATATTGTATAATATACAATATGATAAATGTAGAATACATTCGTGTTAAATTTGGCTTAATAATAATTAAAGTGACGTGATGAAAATACACGAGAATTATGTTTGGTAGTCTAGTGAAATACAGGTATGATTAAATACGTAATCAACGTAAATCTATGTACAATACAAAAATACATAATGCAAATTATGTAATAATACATACGAATTGATATGATCATACGAATTCATTTTAGATAAGAATCTTAGATATTGATCAATTAATTAGAAGTTAAATATAATTTTAAAAGTCGGTAATAAAACTAAGACGATATGCTCAATGTATTTCATTTATATTTATTTCCAGTTAGGAACAATCATTTCATTGAAGTATATATGAATAAAATATTATTTAAAGATAAGCATCTAAGGAAACATAAAATACGTGTACTGTGCAATATCTTATTATACAGGGTGGGTCATTTAACTCTGCCAATTGAAATTACTTATAAGTTGTTTAGAGAGCCAATTTAGAAGGAATCTTATTAACAGAGTTAAATAACTCGCTATAACTGGGTATTAAAATATTTATTTTATGTTCTCTTAAATGTATAATATTAAATACCATTATTTAATGATTTACCTTCTATATACAGGTCTAATAGGAACGTAAATGATCATTAGTATTGATAACCTACATATGTTTCCAATTAGCATTAATTCATCATCAGGAATGTATGCTATATAGTTTGAAACGAAAAAGGCCATTGGACCATACGTTTGCAAAATAAAGTTTCGTATGAAATGTTCCGCGCGTGCTTAATCTGTTCAAGTAATCAACAAATTGAACAGCCATTAGTATTGATTGCCTCATTTGTTAATTACCATTAACGCTCTTGTAACGATTTACACGCTATTTCGAATCCTCGAGCAAGGCTACAAAACAGTTTGGCAGATGCATTTTGTATTCCTGTATCGAGTAAATTCCATCCATTGACGTAATTAAAGAACGGAATGGACACTAATGATCGATATATACATTATATTAATGTGAATGTATAATGGATGTTAGACAATTAAACATTTATATCAATGAAGTGCATTATATCGAAAATTAATATTCATTTTATTCATTAACTTTTGATAATATAAAGTAATAATAAATATTGGACAATAATTAATTTATAGTAAGAAAAATCGAAACATTTAGTACTGGATATTAGATATTATCAAATACTAGGTAATTAGTATTAGATATAAATAGAAAATTGGTTAATATAAATTTATAATAGATGTTATATAATTAAATATTTATATGAAAGAGAATTAAAGAATAAAATTCAAATTAAATTATAAAATATATATTTTTCTAATATAAATATAATAGAAGTGCAATAAATCAATTAAAATGAAATAATAATTCTTTTAATGGTTAATAATAATTCTAATTAAAATCATAATTCTTTTGATGGTTAATATAAATTTATAATAGATGTTATGTAATTAAATATTCATATGAAAGAGAATTAAAGAATAAAATTCAAATTAAATTAGAAAATATATGTTTTTCTAATGTAAATATAATAATGGATTGTCAAAAATATATACAATAAATTTCTATTAAGCAAAATTAAAAAATAAAACAGACATTATTGCTCGTTAATACAAATTTATATTAAATAATAGAAGTGCAATAAAACAATTAAAACGAAATAATAATTCCTTCAACTAGTAAAGTTTCATTAACAATTCCTGCAAACTTCTATAAACGTCTTTATAGCTCTTTAAAATTCTTCTCTTTCACTTAATTTCTACAAATTTTTCACCAGACATTAATAATTCTCATAAATTTTCACAAATTTTCGTAGACTTGCATTAATCCCCATAAATCCGAGCAATTAAATTTTTATATATATATCTCGTTCTTACTCTAAAATTAAATCGATTTCCACGAACCGAGCAAAATTACTTTCAGAAATATATGTGTGATACGTTCCAGAATGAAATATTTTCATAATATTTCTACCACCCTAATACTGTTTTACACCCATCTAGTGTATTGATATACAGACACAGACAAACCCTTCGTAAAAGGGGGGTGGATAAGCCCAAGCTGAACTTAACGACGTAATGAAAGTCTGACAGAGGTTTATTTATCAAGGACGAGAGTGCAAGAAGAGAACAAAGGAACAAAGACGCGAAGGAACAGGCCTATTGGTCACTTTGTATCGGATCTTGCAACAATTTTCTGCACGAAAACAATCGTGAACGAGAGACAGTTCACCTTCGGCAAGAAAATTTTACTCCGTCACGGATGATCGAAATTTTTCAATGAAAATATCGGAAAAAACGAATGAGTTCTAGGCCAATTTCAGATGAAGTGCGAATCGAGCGGTCACTGGAGAATGAACCGGCTCTTTAGACCTTTCTAGTCACTTTCTGTGTGATATTTCTAATGGTAACTTCGGGTTCTCGAATAATATACGATCTCGCTTTCTCCTTGAAACTAATTGGCAAATCGTACGCGTAATTGGTTCAACACTTTGTAACCGTTTGCCACAATCCATGGCTTACCAGGTATTTGCTGTTCAAGTAAACGCGTTGCAAACATGAATAAAGGGTAATCATCGAATCGAGCTTCGTATTTATTCTGGAAGGTATGTTCGATATTGTGCAACTGATGCCTAGGAAATGAAAAGGTGTAAGTTAGGTTTCACGAGCTATGGAATTAGAAATAATAAGATATGTGAAATAAAATAAATACATATTGGCATTTATTTAATTATACATATTAAATAATTGAGTATCAAACTAATTAAAATGTTTCAATATTAAAATATTCCAAATATCGAGATATTTGAATTAAGATATTAAAAAATATATTTTAATTATTAAGATATTAAAAATATTTGGAATAATTGGAATATCAAAAGCTTTTATATATTGCACGTGATTACAATGGTGTATGTTACTTTTATTAGAAAAGAATTACTTCTTTAGAATATTTTGTTACTTATCGTGATTTTCCAAAAGACTTTTTTATTTCTTATAAAAATATTTGAAGATAGTTATAAAATTATTATTATAAATTATTTTATTGACAAATAAAAATCTATTGATAAATAAAAATGAAAAATAAATTATGGATTCAAATAATTCATAATTAAATTCTTTAAATGTAAGAGGGATCTAAATACATTTATCAAAAATATGAAGGAAGATTATTTAGTATAAATATTCATCAATATTTAATTATTGTCATTTTTCAAAAGACTTTCTTATTTATAAAAATATTTGAAGGTAGCTATAAAATTATTATTATAAATTATTTTGTTGAAAAATAAAAATCTATTGATAAATAAAAATGAAAAATAAATTATAGATTCAAATAGTTCATCGTCAAATTCTATAAATGTAAGAGGGATCTAAATACATTTATCAAAAATATGAAGGAAGATTATTTAGTATAAATATTCATTAATATGTTACACAATGCAAAATCCATCAAGTATTAGCACGTGGTAATGTTCAAATAAAACGATTTATACTATAAATTTTAATTTTAATTTCAATATTAGCTGACACTATAAATAATTGTTATTTTTATTATTTATCGTTTGTTACCTAAGATCAGAACTTCAAACGTGAGTAAAGGAGTTTAATTGGAATATTTAATTATAGAATTACTTGTCCTGAATCTCTAACACTTTCATCTTCTTCTGCACCTGTTCCACTTGAACAGCGCATCGAAGAATGTCACTTATCATCTCATGACGATTTTAATTCCATTGACTTAATACAACCAGACCACCAATAATACACATGTCTAAAAACCACAGACTTAAAATCGATTTTCATTTTTCTATCGATTTATCGATATTTCAGACAATAAAGAAATTGTAGTTTCTCTACAAATATCTATTACATTCTTGACATATAACATATAGCAAGTATATATTCCCATTTAAGGTATTAATAAATTCTTCCAAACATTAACTTTATAAAGAAAATAACTTTCCCATACAGATCTATGTAAATCGTTCTCACAAAAAAAAGAAAAATTAAATAAAAAAAAGAAAAAGTATTTAATTTCCAAATAAGAAACTTTAAAATATACAATTATTTCATTCAAAGTAAATTATTAAGCAATTACAAAGAAAATTATTAAACAAAATAAATATCCAATTATTTGCAACCATAAGCCAAAATAAAATGCAATATTCCAATATCTTTCGATTTGAAAAAAATATAAAATAACATTTCTCGTTTGCATTTCCTAGTTTCTGAGAAAATCAAATTTGAAAATGCATTTAGTACTAAAATACGATTCACCTATCTTGTATATAAATAACATACATGCACTATAAAAGAAAGAGAAAAATTTCCCAAGGGTATTTTGCAATTTCAATTAGGCAATTACACAAAGTTGCGCTCGTTCAATTTTTGAAATTCAATTTTCTCAAGACCTAAGTCCCAAAGAAAGAAAAATGATCTTTTTACCAGGAATCATCTGACGCTTATACACGTGTTCCAGGGACACCCTGTATAGCCGTACTCCTGAAGCATATGGAAGAGATCGACGAACCGATGGTCAGATCGCTACGAGATCGCTTTCTTGAGAGATACTCGAGACGAATCAATGGACAACAGTGGATCCTCCCTCGTCAGGTATGACCGTTCACCGGCTCTGACCGCGTACGATCTTTGACCAGTTTCTCGCCTCCTCCCTTTGCTCGCGTTCACACTCTGATCGCCATCCCTGTGGCCGGTTCCTCGTCCAACGAAAAACGAGTAGGTGAAGTAGGAGGAAATAGAGTAGTAGTAGGAGGATTCCACCTCCACGACGACCGGCAAATCCTGCGGGACGGCTCGACGGACACCTGTAACCACGCAGACTCCCTGCAGCACGGGACGGTGCGAAGGAACTTCCCCGATAGGGAACCGTATCGGTCGCAGATCATTCAGGATACCGCGCGTTGACGTGGTCCGCTGCCTCGATTGATCATCCTGCGATCAATCGTCGGTTGACAGTGGACGGTGACGGTATTTCGTTCTACACCCGTCTCACGGGCTCTTACCGAGTGTGCTGCGTTCTCACCGTCTGCAACCTGGGCCAGAGGATCAACGATAATCGCGATGCTCACGGTAGTCGATCGACCATGATAAATCAGGACCTCGCGTGTGTGATTTCTCAGCTACCGCTTCATCATCCTATCGACGACCGTAATTAAAGAAGAGTCGAGTGTCCTTCCAGCCTGAATTTATCTCTTCCTTCGTACGAGGTGCTCGAGGTATCTTTGCCTGGATCTCCGAACGAGTTGCGATTGATTGTTTCTTTCCTCTTTCGCTGCATTCGGCTCCTCCATTTTTCCTTATCCGAAGAGTAATTGGTATTCGATTCGATCATCGTGCAAGATCTTTGGTTCGGTTTGCCGAGGATGGATACTTCGGAGGTAGCACCATCGTACGTGACGCGATCCACCGATCATAGGGAGAAGCACAGTGGTCCCTGAAAGAACGTGCGCGTGGAGATTGTCCTGGGACATTGAACAATTCATGGAACAGAGGTTCTTGTGCACAAACCAACGGGAAGAATGCCGATCTTCTAGAATGTAAAGTGAATGAAGATGACGGTTACGAAGAGAAGCGGTGCTAGAGCTTGGATGCTCTTGTTCCTGTTGCTGATCCATGATGGCAAGTGCATCAAGTGGCTGTGAGTAATTTCATTCTATGCTTTATTTCTTTCTTGATCTCCACTGTTAAACTTTGCCTTGGCACCAGAGGTACTGACTTGTAGTATTTACCTGAAATTTAGTATACATGTCGAGCATTATCATTGATGATTGAAGTGGTATGGGTGGGATTAAATAGATGGGTATAATTATGTTCCTATCTGAATAAAAATTAATATTAATTTTGGCAAAAGCAGATATGTACTTATGGCAAGTGCATCAAGTGGCTGTGAGTAATTTCATTGTATACGTTATTAGACTTTGTCTTAATACCAGAGGTACTGACCTGTAATATCTATCTAAAATTTAGTATACATGTCGAGCATTATTATTGATGATTGAAGTGGTATAGGTGGGATTAAATGGATACGTATAATTATGTTCCTATGCGAATAAAAATTAATATTAATTTTGAAAAAAGCAGATATGTACTTCTGGCAAGTGCAGAAACTAGAAGTCTGAAACCAGTCACATTGACTGGTTTGGTAGTTCTAGGAAACCTTAGTTTACTCTAGTTTAACGTACTTCGTATCAAAGAATCGTGATAACCATCGCGGATCAGAAGAAAAGAATACAATTTACAAAATATAACAACTTTTGACAATATTAAAAATAGGAGAGATTCATATTATGAATTATGCAATGCAATTATGATTTATTTCTAATTAAATGTTTCAATTTTTCAAGTTGGTTGCAAAAAGAGATACATTGAACTATAAATCGATCCCATAATATTAAATTTTATTCTTCGTATGATTAAAAGGTCTCAAAATTATAGTTCTTTCCTAATAATATTTTTTTAATAACTTAACTAATAACAACTTTTTTAAATTTGACACTAGGCATACTTGAAAGATATCGGAATTATTAAGAAAGCAACGCAATTATGACTTTTCCCTAATTAAATAAAAAAGTCCCAAAATTATAACCCTCCCCTACTAATATTTTTTTAATAACTCTTTTCTATAAGGTGAATAAAACCTAAATTCGACATTAAGTATATTTAAAAAGTATCGAAATTATTAAGAAAGCAACGCAATTGTGACTTTTGCCTAATTAAATATCCCTAATTAAATAAAATAGTCCCAAAATTATAACCCTCCCCTACTAATATTCTTTTAATAACTCTTTTCTATAAGTGAATAAAACCTAAATTTGGCATTAAGCATACTGAAAAGGTATCGGAATTATTAAGAAAGCAACGCAATTATGCCTTTTCCCTAATTAAATATAATTTTTCGATTTGATTCGAAAAGATAACGAAAGGAATTATTTCACGACCAAACTTCAATTGGCACTTGTTTAAAATCCATCATAAATAATTAATAACTCAACGCAATAATGACCGTTCTCTAATAAAATAACCGAACACAATTCTTCAATTAACTCGAAATTACGTCGGAACTTTCGATCTTCGCACATGATTCTGTGCTTAGCTATGTATGGAATGGATTCGCGCGCAAAGGAATTTAAATGGAGCCCTGGCTCTAAAAGCTTCGTTCTATCGAAGGACCATGAATCCTTAGGCAACAAGAAGCCAGGACGTTCTCACATTTGTTCGGGAGAGTTCCGAAGGAGCCTGAAGATTAATGTAGGCCCGTTAATGAGAAACAAATAGGTTACTAGCAGGGATGGTGTACGTATGCGTGGGGCAGAATGGGAGCGAGGCAAGGATCATTTTACTCTATTATAAAGATTTCTTTTCCTGCTTGTTTTCTTGCCTCGCGTCAGGCCCTGAGGAACAATAAGTCTCAACGAGGATTTATTATACGTTCGAGGTTCCCTTATGCGCGATTCATCGAATTTAGCTTTATTAGGGTATCGCTTGTTCTCCGGATCCTCGTAAATTCGCGCCGGGCTATCCAAAATGCGAAGAAAATTCGCGACAATGAAAATTCAGTTAGCATTTCAGCCGCCGTTTAATTTACCCAGTTTCCACCGTCCTGCCTGCTGCCATTCTTGCTCGGTATTTATTAAGTTGTTGGTTAGATTTAACGCGACTTATGAAATTTGTTCCTTGTCGTTGGGATTCTTATCAGCCTGATTATAGGAGAATAAATTTGCTGTAATAGACGTGTATCGATTGCCAGCAGGATTTATGATAGAAACAGTAGAAGCTCATTACCCCCTAATCTGAATAATCGGAATAATCAGATTCGTGCGATGGCCTGTGTACATGCATACGTGTTTGGAATGGGGAAGAAGTGTTGCAAAAAGCCGGGTGCCGCTGCGAACGTAAATTCAGCATTTTCAGAAGATTATGCAAATGCTAGAACGGTTGACTCGTGAAATTCAAGGCTGGCCATTTTTCATTAGAAAACGAATCCGAGAGGAAGGCCTGAAAATGTCATCGATAATCATGTTGCAAGAAATATTGCTGAAAATAATTCACAACCAGCAGCAAGAGAAATTGCGTTTGAAATGAAGGTAAGGATATTCTACCATTATACGTCACTCGACTCAAGAAGGGGAAATAAAGAAAATGGCAAATAGGTTCCACGTGATTGAAGCTTAGTCGTTTTAAAATAGTCGGTTTCGTTGCTTTAGCCACTTTTCGCAACCTATTCTCGTTTCTGACCGAAAGGGGATCGATGATAATCAAAAATGTTCGAGACAATGATTTAATAAAGAGAAACATATAAATGACGAAATGAAAACTTCATTTGAAGAAGATAATGGTAACTGTTCGATGGGTATTTGCAAGAGTCACTTTGTATAGTTCTCTAATCTGGAATTATAATCACAATATTATATGAGCTGTTCACTGTAGAAATCGATTAAATCCACTTTTCGAAAAATCTTAAATTTAAGTGTCAAAGCAACTTGGTATAGTCTAATTTGTTATATTTAAGATTTTTCAAAAAGTCGAGTTAATCGATTTGTGCAGTGAACAGCTCGTATATTATATATTATATATTATAATTCATGAAAAACAAATTGTAAAGAGATAGAAATCATTGTTATTACACAAGAGTGCAATATTGAAAATGAAATTTAAAGAATTAAATTTAAATAGTTTGAGTTATTGTTTGTCTTATAAGCTACAACGTTATTACTAGATTATGTCAATTACTAGAATTATTGTTTATTACTAAAATTCTATCAATTTTCTCTCCGTTCAGTCACCTGAATGAGTAAATTATCTAAAAGTTTATGGAAACAGAGGAGGAAAAATTTTTGAATTCTAAAATCGATGATTTTTGTAAATATCAAATTAATTAATGATAGCAATTAATGGATGAAATTAATTGATCGTTAAATTAATAGAAATGAATTTTAATCGTATGATTTTAAAAATGCAACGTGTAGTTAATGTTTTGTTTGAGAAAATAACATGTTGTATGCACTGATTTAATGAAATATCGAATATAAATTCCTGGCGTATTGCTTTTCTCTCAATCATGATTCAAGCTTCAAGAGAACTTGGCACCCAATTGTAACATGCATAAACAATAACGATGAAAACAAATAAATATATATATATATAGTTAAAAGGAAAAACGTTGCATATCACGAATTATCATTTTCAGAATATTTCTGTTTAAAAATCTGAATATTATTTTTTTTATTATCAATCGACGAAATTGCATAATTTTTTTCACATATAAAATTTCGTTTCTTCATTTGTCTCCCATAAATGTGTCAATCAACGTTAACTTGGTCAGAAGCAGATATGTAGATACTTTCAGTAATTGGAAAAATAGAAAATCAGAAACTATTTAGTGTCACTAATTTACTAGTAGTCCAGATTTTCCCTAGTCCTGACAGAAAGTTTTGGGTGAAACGCAATAATACGAAATTATTGAAAATTATTTGAAACGTAATTTTTAAATATAAAATACCATGGTATAAAATAAAACTAAAAATCATTATTTTAGCTTTCGTGCATCGTCGAGGAGGAAATAATCGAGGAGTATCATTGCCTTTCCTCGAAAACTTTCTTCCAGAGATAGCATCTCTCCTGCTTGAAAAATTCCAAGAAAAATTCTCCATGACTAAGATCCACGTGACGCAGATCGATACCAGTTGTAAGTAGGATTAAAATTCATGAAATATAATCAACAACCATAGTGCAATTTCCCGAAGTTCCTTCGCCAGAGCTTCGCCTTGCTCGCGATTAATCTTCTGCTCGCTTAGCTTCGCGAAGCCGTCTTCGTTCGCCGATTCCAGCCTTAATCCCCATTCTTCGTATCAATTAATCCACGCTTCCCCATCTGGCCGTCCTTTCCGTCCTCATCCCCATTCCCAATTCTTATGAATCATCGGCAGATCCTCGGGAAACGCGCGGATCGCTTGACCATCGGCAGACCTCTCGCTAGCCCATGAAGACGTATCCCATGATCGTTCACGCTCATGGCGATCGCCTTTCGTTGCCCGGGATCTCCTTTATTTCACGTAGCTGCACGCCGTGACGTTAATTGTCCCGTGATTCGGGGCGAATTTCATCGGCCGCTTATCCATGGGGGACGCAGAGAAGGGCTGGAAAAGCGGAAACAGAATGAGAGAACACGGCGTACGGCGTCGGATGATGAATGGAGGAGTGATGGTGGTTTCGCGTGCAAAACCAAAATACGAGTGGAACGGGAGGAAAAGTACGAGAGGAAGACAGCATGGCTGGAACAGGGTGGAAGATTAGGGGTTGCCTGCGCGATTCGTGATTTATAAACGCCCTTTCCAAGAAGCCTCTCCTCGAGCCCCCTCCTGCACGTCACTCCACGCGCCCTCAGCCATCATCCAGGCCCCTCCACGCTTCCTTTTGTTTATAATCATCGACACCGGCCGTGGCATGGAGGGGTGATCGAACGGCGATCTCTCGGAAGTTGCAAATACGATTTGTTTTTGTCGCTGTAGAGAACCGGAATCCAACATCGATCCTGTCACGTCCAGGCCTGTGAACGATGCGTGCTCTTGCTTTGAAATGAGGGGCCAACCTTTTCTTCGGAATTTATGGTGCTCGCGTTAATTGTGCCCTTGCGGAGGG